CCTTTAAATACATTTTCAAGTAGTACAATTTAATTTATTAGACTATTTCAATGGTTGCTTCCAACTTCTTAAATTCGCTAATGAAACAATTGTTGGTGAAGTGATTGTTGACAAAATGAATCAAACCCATAGTGAAAAAATTATTTAAACACACATGCATATATATCTTTAGAGGAACTATTACTATAGTTGGCTTGGTCTAAAGACCTCCTAAATTTTAGGCAAATTTTAAAAGTATAGAAGTCACTTTCTGTCCAACCTTTTAAAAAAATAGCTCTATTAGTTGATAGAATATGTCTTTGGTTTTAATGTAATAGAGAGATTTTCTCAAAAAAATTATTTGTTGTAGAGTTCTATTCTTTTTTAAATCATGTACTTTACTATGCTCACGAGGAATTTGTCCACTATGATCATTTCTAAATTTAGGAAAAATATTACCAAATTTAGACCAGCTCTTGACTATCGTATCTAAATTTGGCAGTAAGAAAACTAAAATCACGTGAAGTCCTATTTTTTGATTACATTTTGAACAAATTACAAAATTGCTATTTTGAAATTTGGCCGCATGACGCAGCAATAGGAGGTCTTTAGACCGAGCCAACCATAGCACAATTTCAATTTTCACGAAACGTTTTGATTATTGGATGGAAATTTATAGATGCTGAAGTGTGTTACTTCGGGGCTCGAATATTTAAACCATCACGACCATGTAATTAAATTTAGGCGGAGTAGCGCGGCAATGAAGTTTATTGAGATCGTATCATTGTCAAGGAGACTTTTAAGGTCTCTCTCACTTGTCCAAAGCCCACAAACTTGTGTCAATTTCTTTCGCCGTGGAAAAAATTCTGAGATGGAAACCTGGCACCTGTGATCAATCTCATTTTTTTTGGAAGTGAGTGGTTTTTGAAATGATTTTTAAGGAACTCTCTACTACAATTTGGAGCAACATGCACAACACACATATACATACCCATGTACATAAAAAAAGGGGAAACTCGGCCACTAGAAAAATTTCACTGCCATGGAAATTAAAAACATTATTTTTAAGGGAAATGAAAATTGCCACTGTGCCAAATTTTCTTATTATGTAGCTTTCCCGAAATTGGCACTTTAGAAAAAGGTTTGTTTCATTTTATTGCTCGGAAAGGTGCAATTGTATCAATTTTATTTATTTATTAATTTTAAGAACAATAAAATGAATAATATTGTATTGAATAGTCACGGGGACATGCTCAAGGAGGAATTAAATAACGACAAAAAAGATAAGAAAACATAATGATTTTAATTTATATTAAATATTACAAAATAAAAACCGACACGGGAAGAAAGTACTTGGACCAAAGCTATCGATGAGTATTTGGTCACTCTTGTGCAGTCTATTCTATATTTCACGATTATTATTATTATTATTACTATCACAATTGCCAATATTAGTAGTATCTTCATCTTTGATATCATCCTCCTTTTTCTATTCTTTCTTTTTTTATCGATCCCTAGATTACTTACTTTATCATTTTATCAATGGAAATAATAATAAGCGTAGAATTATTTATCTGATGAAAATATTGGTAGTATGAACAGATGAATAGACGTTTAATTTTTTAAAAAAAAAAGTTGCACAGCATGATCTGCGTATTCTTATTTCCTATTATTATACACAATCAAAATTGCCGAGATTGATTGATAGGCTTATTTATTTTTTTTTTTTTCAATATTTAAAAATGTCACCAGAAGTTTACTCAATTGACCTTGTAAGTTTAATAAATGCACCAATACTTTCTTTTTAATGATAAATCAAAGTTTACAAATATCTTTTCTGTTAGACAGTCGAAAGATCATCTATACCAGATGTATTGCGTGGTATGTAGCAATTCGAAAGTTTGAGGAATATATGTTAAATTAAATAATAATGTACTTATACTTATTTATTATATTGATAGCAATACTACATACAATTCTTTTTTACAGAATTTTTGGTAATTTGAAACCAAAAGAAGTAGACTTGTTGGACATAACTTATGTAAGGACAACCAACCATATTTTGCTTGTTTTGAAAAATCAAATATAATTTCTAATAATGAATAATGGTGAATTATAAAGTCGGCGATAGATGATCCTACTATTGAAAGAACCATCGAAGACAAAATCCAACAATTTATGAAAAATCTTGAAATTCAAAATAGTCAATCAGGAAAAGTAACTATTATACAAGAATTTTAATAAATCAAACGAATCAATGGGTAAATATCAACAAGGTTTATATTTATATAATATTATTATTTTATTTTTCTTAGGTCGCAGTAATGTTTCATGAAAAAAGAACAAAGAAAGGTTGGTTGGGTAAAACAGAAGAAGAAATTTGTTGGGAACAATGGGCAATTACTATTAACATAGTTAATTATAACAGTAATACTGAGCGTGGTATTTAAATAATATTTTTTTCTAATTTTTTGGATTTTAACAGGTTTATTATTATATTCGTCATCTTTTTATCAATTAACTAATAAATTAATACATATATATGTTTTTTCTTTAGAAAGATTGATTGTTCATAAAGAAATGGCAGAGCAATTTTATTCATGTCTGTTTGATATAATATGTTATGTAAATGAGAAAAAAGATCATATTCCGCCAATTACCACATCAGAAGCAAATCCGTTTCCTTACCAGGTATTGGAATTACTAAAATTTTAAAATTTCATTTCGCTGATTTTTTTAGTGAATTTTTTTTACTGATTAAAATAATAATAAAAAACAGATATTTATACCTTCAACGAATGATAATTGGGGTTCACTATTAAAGAAAATGCTAACAGAACCCCCTCAACCCATTTAGCAATACACATAGACAAAATATAATAATATATAATATTAATAATAATATATAATAATAATATATAATATTAATAATAATAATAATTAATAATAATAATTAATAATAAATTAATAAGAATAAAACTTCTTTTCACAATCAATGAAGATATAACCATAATCATAATCATAATCATATATATCTATATGTATAAGGGCAACTTCCTAAAGTCGATTTTGAGCTAAGAACACTTTTTATGTATCTCACCACTTGATAAATTTTAAGAAATTTTTCTTTAAAGTTGTAAACACAATAAGAAATGCAGATCTTTTTTTTTGGATTTCTCCACTGTGGTCCATGAATGTGTATATTATAAAAATAATTCATATTGGTGGTATTTGCTAAACGAGTACGGAAGGATATCCCTAATCCGTTGTAAAGTGGTAAGTGCTGGCTTGGGTAAAAGTTTTTATCCCAGTATCAATTAAATAACTTACTACTATTGTTGAGAAGGTGTAGCGACGCCGTTTCTTTTCATTTAATATACGGTATTATAAAATATATTAATAATTATGATAACAACATTTGGGACAACATTTTGAAGTGTTATACTATATAATCTATATTTTTCTTTTGAATTTTTATCTATGCGACTAGATTTGTTTCCTTTTTAATAAAATGATTATAAAATCTAGAATGCACTGAGAACTGTGGATTGGAAAATCTGCATCTCCGATTGGGTTTTTTGGAGAAGGACGTTATATAATACTATGATGTGCTGATCTTAGAGATGATGGTTTGAAATTTGAGACAAAAGTAAAGGCAGAAGTGCAAGCTGTAGCACATCTCTTTCCAGCATTTTACAAACAATGCTCATTTTAGATTTAATAGAAAAATTTGTGCCCCCACGCCCTTCTCAAAACACAACCATTTTTCTTGGTTTAATGCCTTTATCATTCTCCTACATGATCTAAACATTCTTTTAACAATGGTGTTTTCCTTTTAATATTCTCAATATCTATCTCCTGATAAGTATCTTCCTTCCCTCTAATCGTACGGCATTTTTTGCTTTCTACCATAAAAAAAAAATTTCATTTTAATCCGTGATCCTTTTAAAAAGGAGTAATCTGCATTGATTTTAAATAAAAATAATGATATATCTTCAACCAAATTTTCAAATATATATGTTTCTATTGATTAGTTGGTTTTAACAGTAAAGACTATTTGCAATTATTGAAATATTAATAACTAGAAAATATGATTTGATGATTTGCATTTGAGCGCAGAATACAAAGCCTCTTTTTTGCATATGTTCTACACTCAGAGATCTTCAACACTATAAGATGGTCAAGACGACAAAGTTCCTTATAACGAATCCCACATAATCTGCTCATTTTCCTTCATACATACATACATTAAACATTGCAACAATTATTATTCTTTTGTTGGGATTGGTGAAACAATTCTCCAATTTTTTTTAACTGGTAGTTGCATTGGAAGTGGTGACAATGATTGTGTTGGCTGCAAGGATTGCATTGAAGACAATGATAATGACAATGATTGTATTGCATCATTGGTTGTGGTTGTGTGAGAGGCATATTTAACTTCCAATAAAATAGAATTACATGTAAACATCAGAGAATTTTCGTAATTGGTTTTCTATTAAAAGATGCTGCCACCCTTTTTTATTTTATTCAGTCAAATAAATCATTGAAGTACAAGGGACAGGCTACATCTACCACACCCGTCCCTTGATTTTCGCCTGAACCCTGTCCTTTCGTGTAAGCCATTAAATAATACGAAAGAACCAATGATAAAAAATGGAGATAAAAATAATTAGAAAAGTAACCAATCAATTAATTTTCCTTATTATATTGTAATTATATATAATAGGCTTATTAATAAAAATAGAAAAAGTAACCAATCACTAATTTTCCTTTATTATGTTCTATGACTATTACTATTATTAAAAATCGATTTTGATGTTGGATGAGATGATTCGATGAAATGATCGGCATAGTAAGTGGATACAAAAACGACCAACCAAGTGGAAATTGAATTATACTTTTGTCCTACTAATAATTTTTAAAAACCCCCAGATATTTCATATGTTTTTTATTGGAACTGAGGAAGTAAATATTAGTTTTCCGAACAAGTTCATTGATTCATATTATAATGATATCAATTAAACTTTTTATTTACTAATTATTAAATGGGTTCTTTTAGCAAAAATAAAAATAACAAGAAATATAACTTAATTTTCCTTTATTGTAATTAAAAAATTTCATTGATGTATTAAATAGGCTCATTAATAAATAATAATAATAATAATAATAATAATGCAAGGGATAAAAAAAGCTATCCTATTTTTCGCTTCTTTAATTTTTTTCTTTAATTTTTTTTCTTTCTATTTTGTGTTGTATTTTTATTTTTAACATTTTTTATTATCTATTCAGAGAGACAATGGATATTGTAATTATTATAAATAAACAACATTTTTTTTAGGAAATCGATGCCAGTTTGAATATTTCATTCTTAATGTCAATTAATTATTGATTAATTAATTATCCTCTCGTAAAAATTCAATTTGTCCATTTCTTTTATCTTTAATTCCAAAAAATAAGTTATCAATATGCCAAAAGTTAAAATTACACGTCGTGAAGAAAAAGGATTGATTGATTTTAACATGGTCAGCAAAAATCGATCCGATTACGTTTTACTATTATTCTGTTCGAGGATTCTTTATCGCGTTCAATTAATCTGTTTCACAAATGACCAATTAACTTTCGACGACATCAATTTTATTGTTAAACAACAAATTGATATTTTCCCCGATTTGATTCATTTGATTTACAAAATCAACAACGATAAAAACAACAATAATTCCGTTTATAACTCTGACGCTTACGTTGATTATATTATCGGCACATCATATGACAACTTGCTTAGAAGCATTTTGCAAGCAAAAACTCCCAAATCTTCCAACGATTATAATTATTATAACGCTCATAATGTTTACGATTCCCATAACAATTATAATTATAATAACGTCATCAACAAAATTAACACAAACACAAACGTAAACATAAATAATAATATGAATCCGTTAGACATGGTTCATAATTTGTTGATCGAAGAATACTCGAATATTCAAAACTGTAACAAACCAAGCGATATTGTCATCAAAAAAATCTATCGTAATTTAATCAATTTGACTCAAAATTTTAAAAAATTCATGACTTCAACTACAATTTCGACTACATCCTCAGCTCCAAATTTAAACTCATCGTCGGCTTCTTCGCTTAAAAAAACGAGTTTTAAACCTGTTTATTTTTTAGTGAACGAAAACATTTCATTGGAAACCATAACTACAACATCATCAACAACAACTCCTTCTTCCTCCTCTTTCACATCCACCTCTACATCATCACATTCAATAAGTTCCGCACTTTCCACAATCGCAACGGCAAACAACAACATTAAAATCTCTCACATTTATCCACCTAGATCATTTTTATGGTTTCCAATTTTGACTATTCAAGAAAATATCACACAAAAGTCTACATCAGCCTTTAACCTTAGAAAACGAAATGAGTTTAAAGTCAACAATGATAAATTATCCTTTCGTCCTCAGCTGTTGAGAATGAAATTTGTACAAAACTCAGTTCAATCAAACTTGATTCTTAACTCCACTATTAAAAAAAATAACAAACCAACAACAACGCCAACTTCTACTGCAACAACCGCCGACACCACAACTACTAAATCAAATGTAACAAATGAGCTTTTAATCACTTCTCCTGCTACTCCCACACACCCAATTTCTACTTCAACCCTTCATTATCCTCGCCCTCATCGTAATATTAACGCGATTAATAATTATAATCACACCAACTATAATAAGAAGTCTCAGTTATTTGTTGATACGGATATATCGAGAAATAATAATTATTTAAATCATTGCAACAACAATTGTAGTCCCTTGAGCGCAAATAATAATTATCGCCTCTTGTGTCCTTGTATCGTAAATACCTCACGCTATTAAGTTACAATATCATGATTGTTATCATTATTATTATATAGTTATTTTTATGAAAATTTTTCTTATGATTTTATTTAAATATTTATTACAATGTAAATAGATTATTTTGCTATTTATGATTTTATTATTATTATTTATTCTACTTCCTCATTTATATGCTATATGTATTGTATGTATGTATTAATTATGATATATATCTCTTATGTTATGTGCATATATATTGTTTTTGTGTATGTATGCGTAAGTTATTCTTTAAAATATATATATATATATGTAAATCTTTTCAAAGTTTACAACAAATGAATGATATGGTGAAATTGATATATTGGAGCTGTTAATTTCAATGTCTTGGATTGCTTTACAAATACATCATGAAACACTTTTTGAAAATTTATAAAAAAAAATCCAGTTAAAATTCTACTTGATGAAAAATTTTTTGCCAATAGTGAAAAACCATGGATTTTTATTCTTGCAAGTGAAGAACTTATTGGAAAAGTATTATTAAATGACATCCAGAAATCAATAATGATAGCACAAAAAGAATATTCTTTTATTTAAACAAAAATTTTTTCCAGAAACATAGCATTCCTAGCTGAAAATCAAATTTTCAAATATTAATATATTTACTTTAAATTCATTTCGTAATCATTGTAGATAATTATTTGAGCAATAGTAATAATTTCATAATAGAATTTGGCGCAAATTTTCGCAGATCACTAATTGAAATTTCCCGGAACCCATACTTCATTCCTAAAAAACTACTATTTATACGAATTTATAAGTTGTATTTGCAAATGTAATAAATAATAAGAAACCCAAAGTTTTAATATACAAATTTTCAAAGGACTTTCTTATAAAATATTTTATCTTTATATGGAGGGACCGCTGGATTCTTACCTAAAATTGCTATATAAAACTTAAGATTCAAGTATATATAATATTTAATTATTTATTCAAGAAAAAAATATAAATAGGCGTTTGT